TTTTAGTGAAAAGCTTTAAGGAACAACTTTGAACTATTACACTTATGGTCTTGAATTGTATGTCTTGATTAGAGCATTCTGTAACTGGAAACACTAATTGTGTTCCAAAGAATTTGTCAATCAGACTAGCCATGAGGCCCTAAAGCATATCCAGGCCCAAGGAAAGTTGAACAAAAGACACACTAAATGGATTGAATTCCATGAAACTTTTCCTTATGTAATTCAATATAAAAAGGGGAAGGAAAATGTGGTGGACGATGCATTGTCTAGGAAACATGTGTTGATAAATACTTTGTTATATAAATAGCTTGGCTTTGAATGTTTGAATGCAATGTATCCCATGTTTTCTCAAATCTTCCAAGATTGTGAGGAATGGGAAAGGAAAAGTATCTTAAGGATAAATATTTTACTCCATATTCTAAATATGATGTTTTTTGTTCAAAGGCAACAGACTATGTGTGCCTATAAGCTCTTGGAAAGAACTATTTGTGAGGGAGGCAGACAATGGGGGATTAATAGATCATTTTAGTATTGTAAAACAAGGGGAATTCTCAAGGAACGATTCTACTAGCCTAAGATGCACAAAGATAGTGCTTGAATTTGTGGCCAATGTATTGAATGTGGGAATGCTAAGCCATGTTTCCTTCCCCATGGTTTATACACTTCACTTCCCGCCTCTCAAAGACTTTGTCTTGATATTTCAATGGATTTTGTTTTGGGTTTGCCAAGGACAAGAAGAGGAAGAGATAGCATCTTTGTTGTTGTTGACCGATTTTCAAAGATGACTCATTTCATTCCATGGCATAAATGTGATGATTCTTTCAATGTGGAATCTATTTTTGTTGAAAATGTTATTAAAAGTTCATGGAATTCCTCACTGTTGTAAGTGATAGAGATTCAAAATTCCTTAGTCTTTTTTGGAAAGAGTTGTAGGGTAGACTTGGTACCAAGTTGTTGTTCTCAACTTCTTGTCACCCACAAATTGATGGACAAACTAAAGTGGTATATCGTACCTTGGTTTTTGATGCTTCGTGTTATGGTGCATGGAAAGTTGGCCTCATGGTAGGAACATTTTCCCTTAATTTAGTTTGCTTATAATCGAGTTATTGATAGAACTACTGACATAATCCATTTTAAGTTGTGTATGGTTTTAATCCCCTAACCTTTTGGATATTGATCCTCTTTATCAAGATGTTGTTTTAAGCTTAGATGGAAGAAAAAGAGAGAAATCGATGAAGAACTTCATGAGATGTGAACCTTCACCTCGAAAAAAAGAGCCTAAAGTGCGAACAAGGGTCACAAGAGGAATGCGCTTGAACCGTGTGAGTGGGTATGGACACATCGCAAGGAGCGGTTTCTCACTCACCAGAAGACAAAGTTGATGTCAAGAGGTGACTATCTATTTCAAGTACTTGAAAGGATCAATGACAATACATACCCAATTGACCTTCCTCCAGAGTATAAAGCTTACAACACCTTCAGTGTTTGTGAACTTTATACGTTTTCAACTCTTGATGATGATTATGATCCTTCAAATTTGAGAACAAATTCTTTTCAATGAGGAGAGAATGATGCAATTCAGATTGCACCAAGACCATTACCAAGTCTTTTCACTCAAAGTCAAGCTCAAAACCTTAAGAGAATGCAAGGTTTGCTCATGAAGTTAGAGGTACTTGAGCTTGATTGATGACATAGAAAGGGTTCCATGTTTTGAAGATTGCTTGGGGAAGTGAAGAGAATGCAGTTGAAGAAACTACTACTTTAGGCGAGCATGAGCCGTTTGGCAAATTGCACAATGGTTTGGGCGAGGACCTTAGATCCCGAACCTTACACAACGCTTCTAAGGAAGGGTCATGTCGCCGACCTAGTTGGCAACTCACTGAGCTCATTAGGCGAGCACGACTTATATCACTAAAATTTACATAATGTTTTCAAAGAAGGTTCACATTGCTGACCTAGTTAGCAGCTCGCCGAGTTCATTAGGCGAGCATGACCAAGCTCTCCCTCTATCCTTTTTGGGAGGCTTTTGGTCCTCGTATGGAAATAATTGCCTAAAACTATAAATAGATAGTTTGGGGGTCTTATTTTAGGTAGACTATTTTGAATATTGATATTTGAAATCTTGTATGAGTGTTGAGATCTTTGTACAAGCTTGTATTGACTTTTGCTTAGACATATTGGTTGCGAGGTGAATTTAATTCTCTCAAGGTCTTCGTAAGAGTTAGGTGCTTCTTTTAGAATCAACGAATTGAGGTCTTAAAGTTTATTATACCTTTTTTGTTGGTTTTTGTCTCCTTTTTTTTGCCTATCTATCTATCTATCTATCTATCTATCTATCTATCTATCTTTATTTTTTGTCTTAAATTTCCGCAGTTTATCCGTAATTCGTAGTGAGAATTACATCATAATGGGTTCCACTTGACTTCATCACTCCTCTAAAAAACTAATTGGTCAATTATTTAGTAGTACGAGTCAACACTTCAATGTCGGATCGTTTGAG